TTGACAGCCTACATTCATTCCAATCAAATAATGGGCTGGGGAGAGAAAGCTATTGAAATTCGGTCAGTGGAGACAGGACATTTGGACGGAGTATTTATGCACAAGCGAGCTCAAAGATTAAAGTTTCTATGTGAAAGAAATGATAAGGTAAGTCCACTGCAAAATTTGTATCCGTGCTTTAAGGTAAAACCGATCAGTTTTAGATTTTAAGTCTAGTTTGCCTTGGGGTTAATAAGTAATTAAGCTCAAGGTCTTGTTTAATAAACGGCGCCCATAAATGCCATCCCAGTTAGTTTTCTTCAGTGGATGAAGATCTCAGCCTGTGGTGGGAAGGTCAGCAAATGCCTCTTCTACTTCAAACTGAGGTCCCCGTGGACTTAGCTTGAATTCCTCTCAAATGTTGCATCTGACCATTAACAGTTGAGGCCACCAAATAAGCTCTGCAAAAGTTGAGGAATGGTAGAGCTAAGGTTGTGTAATAACCCCCATTTGAACGGAGCTGTAGAAACATTATGATGATGCATTTTCAGTTTTGTGATCGTAAAGTGTTTTCTCCATGGACCCCCATCTTTTCTTATAGACAGTACTGATAAATGCTGTTCTGCAGGGGCAGCAGAGCCACGTGGTAAAGGCACTTGCATCATAAAATAGTATGGCTGCATGGATGGCCCCTGCCTTGGGTGTTGCTGAAGTGTAAAGGTGCACAGGGAATGAGGGAAGGAGAATTGTTTGGAGGAAAAGGGAAGTTTTCATGGCAGGGATAGTTGAATACTGAGATCTTTTTTCAGCCCTGATGTCTGCTGTCAGTATTTCCCGTGGTACGGGGTTTCACCAAGATAAATCAAGACCATGCAGTAGGGAATTGTTTTGTGAGGAGCATGGGCACAAAACACATGCAGACACTGATTGCTCTGTCGCCAGAGTTGGGTTTAATAACGTGCAATAAATAGGATTGGAGGCTGCAATTGGTTTATTTAGTTGGCCTGTCTGTTCAATGGTTTTAAATTAGGACCTGTGGAAGCGTTCCCTTAAATATTTGCACACGATTACTTATTTTTTAAAACTTCTGCTGTGATCCAACAGTGGTGGACACAGAGGCACATTCTTCATAGAGAGGCCCAATACCTCTCTGTGCCTTGAATGTATTGAAGGAAAGTTTGGGTTTTTCCCAGTTTAGCATTTGGAAGTCGCTGAAATAACATAAAAAACTTTTGCAAAGAAAAGCATTTCAATCTGAGGCAGTTAACCACTGTGCTGAGTGTTGACCCAAATGGTTAACGTTTAGCAAGATATAAATCACTGAAAGCAGTCGTATTAATGTTGCATAATAAGTATTGCTGTGGCAGTAACGTGATAAACGTGGTATTTGTAGACTATTCCAAACCTTGCTCTCTGCAGTGGTGATAGCAATGGAGGTGTTGTTACACGCTCGCTATGAAGTGGTTGGGATTTGAGCTGTGGTGCATGGGCTCACAAGGCTAGATCCCTCCTGGTCTGTGTTGCTCCCACTTTGAGCCACTTCCCCAGGCTGAGCTCCGTGCCTCCATCAGCTCCAACAGCCTTTCTGCCCAGATTGCTACACCCAATGTAGCACCATGACTGCAGTCACCCAAAGAAATGAGCAGGCACTGAGGTTTAGGCAGAGGAAACTACACAGAGCGTGGCTTCCCTTGTCCATGAGTGTTCACAAATTATTTCTGATCATCATAAAAATCATCAATATTCACTGAGTTTTTGTCCCCTGTCCCCAAACAGGTATTTTTCGCGTCGGTCAGATCCGGAGGAAGCAGCCAAGTATTTTTCATGACCCTCAACAGAAACTCCATGATGAACTGGTAACAGAAGAGCCCTTGGCACTTACCTTCGTGGCATTATTTCTAATTTAAAGGACATTAAACACGTGGACTAACACTGTAGAGGCAGATGAGGAGGGCCCTGAGGATCACCGCTCCCCACGCTCCCCTGCCGCCCTGGGGAGGGCTCGGCACGCACCCCGCGCGTGGCTTGGGATAGGGAAACCACCTCTGGAGGTCTCCCGATTACGCTGTGTTATAGTGGGTTATGAGGTTTTTTTTTTCTTTCTTTCTTTCTTCTTTTTTTTTTTTTGTTTCTGTTTTGTTTTTGTTGTTTTCTTCCCAGTTTTTCTTTGTCCCCTACTTTGTAAGAACGGGGAAAGAAACCGTGTCAAAAAGTCTGTTTTTAATTCTGTCTGCCTGCTAGCATCAAATATATAGTATGTTGTAAAGTTACCAATTAAATCTGGTGAGAGACAGCACAATAAATGTACCTTTTATCTTTGTGATGAAGGCCATAACCGTATAGCTGGGTAATTTTAGAAATCTTTTGCCTTCACCAACATTTACATGTTGCTTTTGGCAGCAACGGCTTAACAGATTTTTAAAGAAGAGAAAAATAATAGGTTTTTTTCCCCTCTTTTGGGAAATGGATTTTAAATGGCTAAACTACTAGCCTTAGACTAATAAAAATCAGCTACCGTTTTTGTCAAGTCTGTCCATCCATATTTCCATATGGATCTTCACATGATGCTGTGTCGTGACAGGGACAGCGGTGCCGTTTGATGCCGGCGGGAGAGGGCTGGGATGGAGGGGGCTGGGGGGCCTTGGGCACCCATCCCATGGAGGGGCAGCCGGCGTGGGGACGGGCACAGAGCAAACCGCCCGCTGTGCTGCTGATCAGGCTTGTAAAGAGCTTAACAATATATATGTGTGTGGTTCCTTCGGCCAAGGGTCTGAATCTATACTCGTTTTCTGCCCCCCCAACCCCCCAATTCCCTACGAATTACCCAACATACAGTGAAAGACGACATCTGTGCCGAAATGTGTGTGTGTTTAGTTCGGGTTGAATCGTGTCCTTATAAACTCTGCTCAGTTGATTTACGTTTCAGTGCGTATCTGGGGTTTTCTTTCTCAGTAGCTGCAAGCATGGCCGCTGTGGTATTGGGGTGTCGCATAACAAGGTCTGTGTTGCTGGTTTTAACCTACCTCGTTTCGTTTGGGTTTATTTTTTTTGGTTTTGTTTTGTTTTCTTTTCGTTTTGTTCCGTTGTTTTGCTGTTGATCACAGCACTGTTACCTCCAGCGACATATAGAGAGCTTAACTGGCAATCTTGGTGTACTCAGTAACGATGGCTTTATTAAAAAATGATTAAATCAACAGGACTTGGTCAAACTCGAATCTTTATCCAGGGTGAAAGCGTTGCTCACCAGGGATGGGATGGGGTGGGATGGGATGCTCTGCCTACAGTGGTACCCACGTGGATGGGGGCACTGCCCCCACTGCCCCTGTTGCCCCGCAGCACAGCCCTCAAACCGAACCCATCACCGATTACCACCCACTCTGTGTATTTTAACTGGGGTTGCTACCTGAAACCAGAGCCTTCTATCAAATTATGTTGCAGGCGGATCACTCCTTCATTTCATTTTGTTCCCCCCTCGATGTGACTGGTTCAGAATACGCAGATTTAAATGATTTTTTTTCAGTTGTGGGGTGTTGGGGTGCGGCGATGAAATAAAAGAGAATTGTTGTGTATGAACGCAAGGCAGTTTGTGACTGTATCTTTTAACACCACGGCCACACAAACCGATCAGAAGAAACCAAGAGGAACACCTCAGTCCCTGCCCTCACCCCACTTCATTACTTAGCCATCGCCCATCACGCTGCCCCCCACCTTCCCCAGCCCAGGGCTCAGGACCAGCCCTACCCTGTGCCAGGCAACACGGCTCCATCCAGACCCCATACAATCCCATGGAAAGACATCCAGGGTCACCGGGAGCCAAATATGTGCTCCAATTGCCCTGGGTGCAGCACAGCCCCGGGTGCTGCTGGAAACCAGCTGACCTGCAAACACCGTCCTGCCCTTTTTTGGGGGGTATGTAAATGGCCTTCCTGGCCACGCACACCCCGCTGGCATCCCGAAGGCTTTTCCTCACCCCAAGCAGGGATGTGGGAGGGGGCTCAGCCCGAGGGGTGGACGCAGAGGCTGGGGCTGCATGAACGCAGTGAACCCTTTACCTCAAGTTAAAGTTTTACCCTGAGCCCAGCACAGCGATGAGCAGCCTTCGCCTCCCTATTTTTCCCTCTATTGAAAGCACCCTCTGTGCCCACGCGAAGGCTCCTGATGGACAGCACCGTGACTCACCGTAACCCATTGGAAGGCAGCAGCACCTGTTGGCATGTGGGGTTCCAACCCGTGCCACGCAGGGTTTCAGCACAGAGCCGAGCAGTACCAGTTCAGACCAGATCCACAGCACTGTGCAAAGTCCGATCTGCAGGACAGCATCAGCAATCACAGCAAGCGGGGCTGTGCGCTCACACCACCACGGGCTGCTCGGGGTAACGGTGGGGTGATGGTGGTGCTCGGGGTCATTTGGCTGCGCCGTGTCTCTGTGTCTGCACACAGCAATTCTCTGAGCGCTCCGAATGCCCGCACGCGGCGTGCGCAGGCACTGCAGGGAGGGCTGCAGCTACGTACTCACAGACACCTGGACACATCTGCATCCGTATACGTTTGCTGTTCACAGGTATCTTTTAAAGCAGGTGCCAAGTGATGTTTAAATAAAACACGTACTCGTTTCCTAGCATCTTTGTTCCATGTGCTGGAAAAGGTTTCTTCTTGTAAAATTCAGCAAGTTTTGTGATACAGTCGATAAATCCAATACAGAAGCCAGCACAGGTGCTGAACTCCTGTGTGTGGCTGCATTCCCTGCTCCCCAGCATGGCACGGTGCCATAGGACAGCCCAAACTCAGTTGACTGCACTGCCCACATCCCTTCTCTGCCCTCAGAGAGTCCTCGTTCTTCTATTCAGCCCCCCCAAAATGCATGGGTTGGCTCTGAGCTGAGAACTGCCAGGAGGACGGGTTTCTCATTAACTCCGGAGGTGATATAGTCCCATCTCCCACAGCACGGCCGCTTGTGCTGCCCCTGCTGTCCCTTCTGCAGAAAGCGGGAGCAGCTCAGCACGGTGTCCGGAGGAGTGGGGATGGATGGGAAAAGCAAAATGCAGGCAGAGAAGGTAACTGCTGGTGGTGGTGGGCGCTGGGATTTGGAGGGAGAGCAGCACCAGGGTTGGTAGTTGCTGCATGCCAACACTGCAACCAGCAAAAATACCCCCTCTTAATTCACTGCTCTGCAATGTCTATGTACAGAGCCAGGGCAGAGGGGTCGGGGGGTTATTTTTTAAGATCTTTGTCACCTCAGAGGATAATTTCAACTGTGGCAGAGTGAAAAAAGAACTCTCACCAGCACTGCTGAAAGCCAGCAGCTTGGTGTGTCCTCCCAGCTGCACTGAGGGGTGCTGTGGGGGCATGGGTCTGTCCCGGGGCTGCGTTATTCCCAGCTGGGGCTGAGGCTGTGCTCTGCTCCCTCCCAGCACCTCACAGGAACGTTGGTCCTCTCCGTCTTCACCGCAGTGCTGGGCTTCTTCCAGTACGGCTACAGCCTGGGTGTCATCAACGCCCCACAGAAGGTACGTGCCCAGCAGGGTCCTGGGGTGAAAAATCCCCACAGCAGAGCCCAGGGGTGGCTGTAGCTCTGAGCTGATGGCATTTTCCTCTTTGCCTGCTGCAGATGATAGAAGCGCACTATGGGCGAGTGCTGGGTGCCATCCCCATGGTGAGGCATGCCACCAACACCTCTGGGGATGATGTTTCTATCAATGTCACCGTCCCAGGCACAGAGGCATGGGGCAGCTCTGGGGGGACGCTCCCACCCTCAGCTGGCTTTGAGGACCCCGCCGTGTCCCCTCACATCCTCACCATGTACTGGTCACTCTCCGTCTCCATGTTTGCTGTTGGAGGCATGATCTCCTCCTTCACCGTGGGCTGGATCGGCGACCGGCTGGGGAGGTGAGCAGCTGCCTCTGGCTCCAGTTGAGCAAAAAGCATCACCCAACCTGAATTGTCACTGCATGCCCGCTATAAGTCTCTGCTTTGTGCTCTAAAATATTGAGGTTTTCAGCATAATTTTGTTGGGCAAATCCCTGTGGGGTTTGAGGGCTGGGAGGGACCAGATTCGTTTCCCTGGTATTTATGGCTTTACGCAGAGCCCGAAGCTGGAATTTAGCACCTGCCCTCCTGCTCCCGTGCGCTCTCCAGGCATGTGAGTCCCCACTCTCCAACTCCTCTCCATGAATTTCAAATTCATAGAACCACAAAATAATTAAGCACATAATATAAGGATCTTCAAGTCCAAACGTAGTACACTGCATTAGTGCAGTGTAAGCCTTTATGTCTGAATTTTCTCCAAAACGTCCTTCTTTCTTGCAGAAATACCACTTGTGCTATTTTGTCTAATTCAGTTAAAAAAACATCAGACCTCCAAAACAGTGCTCCAAACATCCCAGAGGTCTGGCTTTTTAAAATCCTAAATTACAGATTGGGTGTTTTATTTCAGTGCTCAGCCCTCAACCAAGAAGCCACTGAGCAACCCTTACGGACACTCCGATCCCATCCTTTCCATGCCAAAAAAGAGAGGGCATTTCAGCAGCGTTTGCCATCTGCTATAACCCCTGGTTTCCCTGCACCCCACTGATATTTCTGCTGGCCTGCAGGGTGAAAGCCATGCTGGTGGTCAACGTCCTCTCCATCGCTGGCAACCTCCTCATGGGGCTGGCCAAGCTGGGCCCCTCACACATCCTCATCATCGCCGGGCGGGCGATCACAGGGCTGTACTGCGGTGAGTGCCAGCAGGAACCAGGAGGGTTTCTCAATTTCTGCAATATTTTTTTTTTTTTTTTTAGTTCATAAAGGTTTTTTTCCCCCATGCTCATCCTTCTCAAAACAGGATCTTCCGCAGGGGTGTTTGGGTCAGTTCCATCATAAAATCAATTATGATAGAAGGGAGCTGGATCCTCCTCCTGGGCAGTGCCTCAGACTTCAGGATCAGCCTTGGTGGTGACTGTCCCATGAGCGTGCTGTTAGTTGTGCTGTTTAACAGGTTTCCAAGACAACAGCCAATCTACACCCAGACTGCAGATAGTACAGCAGTGCTGTGGGTAGTGAGGCAAAGATAGCAGGCAGATAATACGGAATTACATTGGAATTAGCTTAGAAACACATTTTGTTATCGCTGTTACTGGTGTGTTCTGATGGGTCAAGGAAAGCCTGAAGAAAGCTCTTTGCTCTGTGATAACTGCTCCCAGCAGAGCTCTGCCCCGTGCTGGGCTGTGCGTGTGCATGTGCACCTGAACAGCCCTGAAAGGGATTGGGCTGGATGGGATGTGGGGTGTGGGATATGGGATGTGTGATATGAGATGTGGGATGGAGGATGCAGGATGCTGCGTGCGGTATGTGAAATGACAGACGCAGGATGTTGGATGTGGGATTCGGGCTCCATCCTCCTTTCTTGTTTGGGGAGAGGTCTCTGCTGCTCACAGAGGGGTGATGCTCATGTGCTCCGTGCAGGGCTCTCCTCCGGCCTCGTGCCCATGTATGTGAGTGAGGTCTCTCCCACTGCCCTCCGAGGAGCACTGGGGACGCTGCACCAGCTGGCCATCGTCACAGGCATCCTCATCAGCCAGGTACGAAGGGAAAGCCACAGAACCAGAGAGAGCATGACAGATAGCAGGGAATACGTGGGGGAACCTTAAAGAAATTTTTCATGTTCCATTCCAAAACTGAAGGAGAATTTGCCCGAATGGGATTAAACTCCAGCTCTGAGTCAGAGGTGTGAAACACCCCAAGGTCTTCTGCCCACCCACATGAGATTTTGGTAGACATCTGGTCAGAGTCAGACAGGATGCTGAGCATGAGATACTCACTATCTAAGGATGGCTCTGTCAGAGGGGTAGGGAGCAGGGAGCACCGTGCACTGTGTTGGGTGTCCCCACATCCATGAGTTCATCTCATGTGACGTAGCCAAAAGACTGTGTCTTCTTACTCTTCCCTAAAAAAAAAAAAAAAAAGAAAAAATTGGGAAAAAGGTGGCAAGGTCCTGCTTGTTGTGCTGCGATTACGAAAATGCTTTGCAAACAGTGCAAAGAAAAATGCTGCCCACGCATCTTTTGGAAATCTCTCACTGCTTTCCAACATGCCTCCATAATTCCAGGTCCTGGGTCTGGACTTTCTCCTTGGCAACGACGAGCTGTGGCCGCTGCTGCTCGGGCTGTCTGGGGTGGCTGCTCTGCTGCAGTTCTTCCTGCTGCTGCTGTGCCCCGAGAGCCCCCGCTATCTCTACATCAAGCTGGGGAAGGTGGAGGAGGCCAAAAAAAGTAAGAGAAATTCTGGGTTCACCTGACTGTTCTTACACCACCCGTAGTGTTACCTATCAGTGCACCTCTGTTTTGGCCAGAGAAGGCTCCTTCGCTAATGTAATACAAGAAAAGAATTTTGAACTTTCTCTTCAGGTTTGAAAAGGCTCAGAGGAAACTGTGACCCGATGAAAGAGATTGCTGAGATGGAGAAGGAAAAGCAAGAAGCTGCCAGCGAAAAGAGAGTGTCCATTGGGCAGCTGTTCAGCTCCTCCAAGTACCGGCAGGCTGTGATCGTGGCACTGATGGTTCAGATATCGCAGCAGTTCTCAGGCATCAACGCGGTGAGACTCCCAAAAATGTTAAAGAAATCCACACTGTTCTGCTGTTCTTCACTTCCACAAGATAGGAACTGCCTTATTCTTTGAGAGAAGGGAGACATTGGGGTCATTTCAATATTATAATATCAAAAAAAAAAAAAAAAGCTCTTCAAACCTCATACCTATCATGGTATTTGTTTCCAACGGGCAGCGCTGGCAATCCAATTCTGGAGATTAAACATGGGTGGAGGAGAACTTTCAAAAGTGAAAATGTAATAGTTCAGGGGGGAAATTTAAATAGGATTTTTTACCTCTTCAGGTTCTTTCGAAAGATTCGGCTTTAATTATCACAATAAATAATTTAAAAGTTGAAAGATTAATCACAATTAAATAACTTCAAATGTCAGGCCAAGCAGGATAAATCCTTCCTTCAAGTGAACAGACGGTTACAGCAGCCCTGTTACCTAATCCTTCATCCTGCTGCATTTTGATAGATCTTTTACTACTCTACAAACATTTTCGAGAGAGCCAGTGTTGGCCAACCAGTTTATGCAACCATTGGCGTTGGAGTGGTGAACACAGTCTTCACAGTTATCTCCGTAAGTAAATATTTCTGCCCTAGATTCCCAAAATGAGAGAGCTGAGATTTGATTTTGAAACTTGATTTTATGCTGGAGCAGGGGCTGGAGGTCGTGCTTTTGCAGAGCTGCTCGTGCATACCTCAGGGGAGAAGCCTTCCCTGGGCATCCCCTCCTCTGGAAAATCCTTGCTGTCAGACAGCACTGCTCAGTGCTTTGCGAGTGACAGCTGCATCATCTTGTTCAGGGAAGCTCAGGTAGATCAGCATTGAGCCCCAAACAACAGTTAGATTTGTGACTGTGATTCCATAGCTCCAATCTGCCCCAGGAGCAGAGAGCTCATAAGCTCCTTCTTATCTTTGGTCTTTCAGATTTTCCTTTGCATGCACACAGTGCCTGCATGATCGATATCCAAAGGCTACTTCATAGCAATAAACAAATAGAGCACTTATCCTCCTCAGATCTATGCAATGCTCTGCAGCAATAAAAGGGTGGTTCCAGCTTCCCCAGCCTTCCCATCCATGTCTCTCTCTTGGGAGCATTAATTCAATTCTAATCAGCAGACTTCTTTTTTTTTAATGTGATTATTACTATAAGAAGAGCAGGAAAGGCCAAGCATGACCACCTCCCTCATATCTTTGGAGCACATTAGGGAGTAAAGGACTTTTACCCACAAGGAAGTGGGACTAGATGCAATGCAGAAATACAGGTCTCAGCCCATCCTGCGGAGGTAGGAGGACTTGGCGTGAAATTTCTTTAGAGAAAGTCCATTGCAGGTCCCGTGCAGAGGGAAAACCATGAGTGTTCATTGTGAAATGAGGCACAGAGGCTGTGCCACTGGAGGAGGTCTGCCTCCAGCTCAGATGGTCTCCTGCAATTCCACATCTACCCTGGGGACGTTTGCTCTCTTGGCCATCAACACTTAAAGAGTTACACACACCTGTCAATGAATGACAGCCCCTGACCAGAAGGCAGAATAACTGACAGACAGGCAGATCTTGGCAAGGGGAGAGGAGGCGGAGGCTCTGCAACTCCATGAGTCAGTAGGGTGACCTGTCTCCAGAACAGACACCATCTCCTGGAAGTGTAAATCATTGGCCGTAATTACAGGAAAAGGAGATGTCTGAGGTTGAGGGAATGGCCACAAGCGTCCTTTAAAGTGGACGGGAAGAAAAGGCAGCTTCAGAGGCTGATGTCGGGTACCTCAGGGCAAGTAATGTTTGTTGCCATCTGGAGCTACCTCCATCTCCTTGTTGGGTGATGCTGTTGGTACAGATACAAATGTCAGAAGCTGGATGAGGTCACCAGACTCCAAGAAGTGCTGAAGGATCAAGTTGAGCGTTGTGGCTACCAGCTAAGCAGGACTCTGGGAGCCGCCAGGGCAAAACTTCTGACTCCAGCTGCCACACAGGCAAGGTGCAGTGGTCTCTCGACCACATCAGCTAAAAGAGCAGGACTGAGGTGCAGTGGTGGTAACGAGCTGTTTGCTGCTAACAGACCCTCCTAAGAGCAGCGCTGCTAGGGACTGATCATACATGCATTTCTGCAGGTCTTCCTGGTGGAGAAGGCAGGCAGGCGCTCGCTGTTCCTGGCTGGTCTGATGGGCATGTTGATCAGCGCCGTGGCCATGACGATTGGACTTGCACTCCTGGTAAGGCTTCATCTCCACTTTTTCTCTGTAATTTGCAAGAAGAAGAGAAAGCATTCCTCAAGGTGAAAGCTCTGCATGTTCATCTCATAGAGGTTTGGAAAATACTTGTCTCTAGAAGGGACAAAATGGCAATAGATGGAGCTGTTTTTTGTGATGTAGCACCTGGGGACATTGCACCCTTTGTGTCCTGCATGTGCAGCCCCTACAGACTATAGTCTGAATAAAGAGTGATTTCTGAAAAGGAAACTTAATTAATTAGCAATAATTAATGGGAAGCATGTTGGAACCATAACACCAAGTGCATCCTCTTGCAGAGCCAGTTCGCCTGGATGAGTTACGTCAGCATGATCGCCATCTTCCTCTTTGTTATATTCTTTGAAGTTGGGCCTGGGCCCATCCCCTGGTTCATTGTAGCTGAGCTGTTCAGCCAAGGCCCGCGTCCCGCCGCCATCGCCGTTGCTGGCTTCTGCAACTGGGCCTGCAACTTCATCGTGGGGATGTGCTTCCAGTACATCGCGGTAAGAAACCTCCCTAAAACAGTACCAACATGAGGCGGGTGAGGTCCCCAAGGCAGAATAGTGGGACACGTCCCCCGGATCTCCGAGGCTATGCAGGCAGGGGTGACGATAAGCCGTGCTGTGATCTGATGGCTGTGCCATGCTCTCGTTGCCCCACTGCAGGATCTGTGCGGACCGTATGTGTTCGTTGTCTTCGCCGTCCTCCTTCTGGTCTTCTTCCTGTTTGCCTACCTCAAAGTACCCGAGACGAAAGGAAAGTCATTTGAGGAGATCGCAGCTGCATTCCGCCGCAAGAAGCTCCCGGCCAAATCCATGACGGAGCTGGAAGACCTGCATGGTGGCGAGGAGGCGTAGGCATGGCCACACACACAGGAAGGAGGGACGCAGAAGGAAACGATAGGCAAAAGTCTCATTTCACAAACACCTTGCAGATGCCAGCACAGGAGGACACATCAACTCGCAGGACTGCACAGCGCTGCCTGCACCATCCAGCCACAGGTGCCAAGCTGGCATTTTGCTCTGAAACTGTTGGCACAGCTGAGCTGCAGGAAGAGCCAAGGAAAGAATGGGAGGAACACCGTACATGTGTGCCTCTGTGTCCCACTGCACTGTGGCAGGATGATCTTACTAGCTGGCAAAGCACTACATGAAACAGGATCATCACTCAGCTGGAATGAAGGAAAAAGGGGTTGGGTGATGCTGAGCCTTATGACTTCACCTCTTCTTCTCATGCGTTCTGCCTGCTCCTGCTGAGTGATCTGAAACCTTGAGAAAATACCTGCTAGTGCAGCAGTGTTAGCAGCACGCCGCACAGATCCATAATATGATTTGGGTTGGAAGGGACCGTAACGTCCATCCAGTCCCATAGGCAGGGATACCTCCCATTAGATCAGGTTCAAAGCCCCATCCAACCTGGCCTTGAATGCCTTCACAGGTGGAGCATCCGCAGCTTCTTGGGGCAGCCTGTGCCAGGGCCTCATCACCAAGTGGAGTCTCACAGGAGCAGAGACTCACTTCCCTTGCACTGCCAGTCACACTTCTTTTGATGCAGCCCAGGGTACAGTTGACTTTCTGAGTTATAAGTGCACACTGCCAGCTCGCAGTCATCCTTTTTTCGTCCCCCAAGTGTTTTCCTTTAGGGGTGCCCTCCATTCAGTCGTTACCCAGCCTGTATTCATGCTTGGGATTGCCCTGAGCCGGGAAGAGGATCTTGCATTTGGTCATATTGAACTTTTTGCATGTGCCCACTTCTCAAGCATGTCCATCATTTTTCAGTGTTTCTCAGAGAAACTAAGAAACTCTGTCTGGGTTGATATGTGTGGTTGCAGACTATTTCTCTCCTCTTTCCTTGTAGGAAGCTGTTCCTCTCAGTTTCATCTCTCCCATGGTGTGACCATTGCCAGGTCACCTTCTCTCGCTGCACTCTGTCTTTTTGTACAGAGTTTAGATCAACTGTAACAATTAATGATTTTGTTACTTGAGTCTTTAAGATTTGTATATTCCTTGCTGTGAAACAAGGCCTTCTAGCAAGCTTCTCAGGATAGATACCCGCTATTTATTTAGGAAGAAACATCAGTGCTGCTCACAGTGAGCTCACAGCGATGACAAGTACTGCAGTGGCTGTGATGGGAATGTTCACGCTCCCTTCTTTGGGCCTAAACTTCCTTCCCATGCAGACTTTGCAAATTTTTGGCTCTTTCCAAGCGACTGGAAGTGCAGGCACGAGGTTCACCAGGACCAGCATTGGCCCCATGTGTTCAGTGAAGAAGGAGATTTCCTGGAACGCCTGCAATAACAGCAATGTTATCTGTGTCTGTTACATAAAGGTGACCATGAACAACATCTGCAGTGTGTGCTGGCTTGTGCTGTTGTCTCTCCCCTCTGTACATCTCAGACACGTGTCCATCTCTAGACAGGAGGGCACATTTTCTCTTTGGGTGGCATTTGCTGTGCAGCTGCAAAACATCTCTGGTGGCATGCAGCTGAGCTTTGTGCAGATGCCTGAGGAGCATCAGTCAGTGGTGCCTTCAGGAGGGACTGCGTTCAAAATGAATAACGCAGCGGTGAGGTATCATTTGTTTAGCAACACACTGAGCCAGGCAGCCTTTGTTTTCCTCTGTGTTACCAAATAAATGATAACTAAAAGCCTGAATTGCTAGTTGTAATGTAGCACATACATCAGTTTAACAAAGCCCACGCTGCCATAGGTGTATTCCTGAACTTCACCATGGGTTCAGAGCCACTTGGGTAATATGAGTGTAAAAATGGTTACCAGCAGAAATATATCTTCCCCCTGTGTGCTTTTCCACAGCCTGTTGCCAGCACACTGGGACTCCTGAGAGCTAACGGGTTCTCCCCTTGCTTGGTCAGTGCTGAGTTGAGCCTTTGGGCTTTTTAATATTATTCTTTCAGCTGTATCACCCCCTACAGATGGTGTTTTGGTTATCCTGGGATGTTTCCAATCAATTCTGCTAGTGGCTGCTGTGGGGAAGGCTACATGGAGAGGATGGCGGAGCTGGGAGCTGCACAGTACTTCAGCAATGCCTGTCCTCACCGTGCTGCTGGGAGGGATGGAGCTGATATGCCAGGCTGAGCTATCGCAGTGTACTTTTACCGAGCATGGGGGTGCAGGAAAGGGTGACAAGGGTTGGTCAGATCTGCAGATATGTTACGTCTGCCCTGTCCCATCAGGCTGGCAATTAGCACGTTATCTGCCCTTGTCACACGTGAGTTCCAGCTGAAACTTGTTCTTATGACACAGCTTGTTCAATCATTATTTTTATCTCTGTGTTACAGTTTTGTTAAGTTGCTAATCATTAAGATTTAAAAGACCGAGTCATACTTATTAGCTAAATGGTCGTTGCACTTTAGTTAACATGCAAAATATGTTCCTGTACCATGGTTAGCTAATAACACGATATAATTAATAGCCCCTGAGAAAGCATCTTGTCAGCAAGAGCTTCGACAGTGTTTTCCTAATGTGCTGAGATGACAGCCATTAAGACTCTTCTGTTATGTCAGATAAATGGTGAACAATATCTAGTTTCCCACACTCTAGGCGTAATTTCAAAATTAGTTTGACTTTCCTAATCCAATAAGCTCGGGACATTTGGCTCCATTAACACTTTCCACACTCATTTATCACTGATTTTTCTGCCTCGCTTCAACTTGTTTTTCATCATGGAGAAGAGGTGCCCTCCCTCTCCCGACTCAAACAGCTGATGAGGATGAAGCTGAAGCACTGCACATGCAGGGACCAACGCTGTAGGGTCTGATGGTGCTCTGTGTCCTTATCTTCCACTGAAACCTCCAGGGGCCGAGGAATTGCAAGGCAGAGCAGATTGGGGGTCAGAAGCAGGGCTCCCCGTGGGGCACATGTCCTGGTATTCGCGTGGCATCAGCCTGGGAGGAGCGAATAGCAGAGTTGCAATTCATATCTCCTCCTCCTGGTGCAAGTTACAGCTGGTTCCAGCTGGCTCAGTGTTCCCTGGCACTGTCACACTGCTTGCCTCATACCTGCAGTGTGCGCCCAGGGTAATTCTGCCAGCAGGGCACATACCTTGCCCAGTCACATCTGCACAGCCAGGCAGAGCGCATGAGTCAAGAGCAACCAGGGAGCAAGAAGAGGCAGAGTGATGGGAGCTGAAAGCGTCCCAGGACACACAGCCCCTAATCATTGCAGGGACATCCCAGAATCCCGTTCTCAAGACCATCACAAACACGGGACGAGCCGCTGGTGCTGAGCTCAGTCTTGGGAGAAGCAGGGGGGGGATGGCAGCGCTCAAGAAGTGCCTGGAGCAGAGTGCAATGCCTATGGCAAGGTCACAGCATAGGCTCTTTCATCTGGTTCAGACCATATGCAGGAACACGGAGGGTCTGCTGAGCCCAGCACTGTCCTGTGGGGGGGATCGATGTGCCAGGCGAGCAATGCCTCCTGTGTTGTGTCGAGTTTGCTGCAACTCGGCTGCGTGTTTGCCCCAGAGCTGGCTGAAAAATGGCTAAAGCTGGGCTTTAATGAGGTGCTTAAGGGCACCAGAAACTTCTTCGGTGTACGAACAAGTTCTCTGCTATTTTAAACCTTCCGAAAGCTCCCTGACCACTGCTCACTTCTGCTGCATGACCGGTATAAAGACTGAGAAGGAGAGCTGAAGATCGATAATGCACTGAGCCTGCTCAAAAGAAGAGATACTCCAGGTGTGCAGTGCTCTGAGCACACCTGCAAAGATAGAAATACATGTAAAGATGAGAGGCCCTGATGGTTACAAACGTGCCTTGACACCAAACTGCTGCTGTTGTACACCAGTACAGCCAAGAAACACGCTTCAGAAAATAAACGCTGATCCGGACACAGGAGCGATGCCTGCAAGCAATGACTGATGCATCTTGTTTTCAGGTTTTTTAATGAAATTCTGATAAAGGCTGCTGTGTCTAAAAAAGAGATATCATCCATCTACAGCTGCACCTCAGCAAAAAGCTGTGGTTTAGTACAGGAGATCTCTCGGGGCACACCCAATTCATCTCTTAATTGTACAAAATGAACCGAGTTCACAACCTGACACTCAAAGAAATGAACCATCATTCTGCTTGGCTCCCTCCTGCCGCACTGCGCGCTCAGAAGAGCCGGCAGCTCTCTCGTGAAGTACTTCATCGTAAGCCAAGATGCCCTAGAGCACGCGCGACTCAGCGCACACCGTCGGTAAGCAATCGCGGCGCATGGCCGCACGAACACTTAACGGTGCGACCCAGGCACCGCCCATCAGCCGGCACAGAACGGCGCAGCCGGCAGCCTCTGCCCACGGCACTCCGAGCCCGCAGCGCCCCCCTCAGGACCGGCGGTGCGGTCGCTCCGATCCGTTCCGAGTGCGCCCCCGGGCGGCCGAGCTCCGCGCTTGGCGCCGGTTGAGCCGCGCCGCTCTCCGTAGCGCCTCGCACGTGGCCGGCCGAGGGCCGAGGGGCGGGGCGGGACGAGGCGGGACGGGCCAATCAGCGCGGAGGAAGCGAGCGGAAGCGGGGGGGCGGGACGCGGGGCGTGGTGCGCGCGCTGCCCGCCGCCCGCCGCCCCTTCCCGCCGGCCGCCGCAGTGGTCGGGCGCGTGTGCGCGGCGCCGTGCCCCCGCCCGCCCTCCCGGCCGCCCCGCCGCGCTCCGCAGGTAAGAAGGGCCGTCGGAACGCTTCCCCTCCTCCTTTTCCCGCTCCCGCCCGTTCTGGGCCTGGCGCTAACGGCCCCGAGGGCGGTTGGGCCGCGGCGCTGAGGGCCCCGAGGGCGGGCACGTGGCGGGCGGAGCGCGGCTCTCCGGCACCAGGGCGAGGGGGGAACCGGGAGGGGAACCGGGGGGAACCCCGCGCTCGGACCGACGCTGTGCGTTCCCCGCAGCCCCGCAGCCGCCGCCATGGCCGACGAGTTGGACTTCACGACGGGCGACGCCGGCGCCTCGTCCACCTATCCCATGCAGTGCTCGGCGCTGCGTAAGAACGGCTTTGTGGTGCTGAAGGGGCGTCCGTGTAAGATCGTGGAGATGTCCACCTCCAAGACGGGAAAGCACGGCCACGCCAAGGTGAGCGGCGGCGCCGCGTGTCCTCCGCCCCGAGCGGGCGTGGGGAGGGCCGGGGGGCAGGGCAGGGCCGGGCCGGGCCGGGGGCTCTCCCCGCCGCGGATTGTCGGAAGGATTACGCGGCGGTGGTGATAAATTGCGGTGGCGGGGCAGGGTAAGTTCTGGAAGGGGCTGATGAAATCCCCAGGGCGTGGTTGGATCGCGCCGGCTGCCCCAGCGACGCTCCCCGGCACGCGGCGTGGTGCTGCCCCAGCAGTTGGCTCTGC